CCAATCTCTGCCGATATTGTGTGTTTTATTTGAAAGAAATAAGTGGTGCAGTGTTAATTTTGTTGTGTAGAAAACAACAATAATGCTTCGGAACTACGAAGAGCTTACTTGATTACGTGTTATTTTTTATACATTCATTAACTTTAAACGATAAGAATATTGCACTAAAATAAATGTTTTATGTAGATATTTGAAGTGAAAACTTCTTTAGTATCGTTGTGACTTGAGATTCGATGAAACGGAAGTTGAGTATTTGACACAAGATAGGTATCCGTATTTTTTATCACGTTTTGAGACAAATGGCCCAATGCATTCGGTCTCTTGATTCGAAGCAAGTGGTCGGTGTTTTGAAACCTGAGTTTGGATGTTAATTTTAATTCTATTTTTCTTTTACTAAATAAAGCTATTATTTATTTTTGGAAACAATTTAAGGACATGATATTTAATTTTGCCCATTATTTTATAATCCCTGAATAGTTAAGTATTAAACGTTTTTAAAATTTACTGTGCATTTTACCGCCATCTATTATGTATTGGTTAGCACTAAATTTACTGTGTGTTTTTATATCTACTAGATGGCGCTTACATACACAATCAATTAAAAAAAATGTTGTAGTAGAAAATCTTAATAAGTATTTAACATTTAGTAGGTACTTACTGAAGTAGTTAATTATTACACGGCTCTGGTTTTTTTAATCAACACTTACCTTCCCAATGTTCGCATATTTTGTAACAGTAATTTTTAGCGAATAAATATTTCGAAAAAAAACTAAGATAAAGAAAAATCCCATACAAATTTTTTTGCCGTTTTGTGCTTTACGTTTGTAACGGCAACAAGTAGTTTATTTCCTTGAGTCTAGCTGATTATTTTATCGTAGTTTTTTCTAATTCCCTTAATACGAAAGCTTCAATTAACTAATTTTGATAATAGTATTATGTTTATGATGTTGCACAATATTTATTTAATAGATATCGTCTGATATGTTTATTACAGTTTATTTCTTGCTCGTTAATCGCTACACAGCTTCTATTTGATCTTTGTAAAATATGTACATAATTTGTTTTTTAATTCGTCTTAGTGCCGCCATCTATTGAGAAATTAAGCATTTCCTTATACTATTACGGCAATGCTTTTGTAACAAGACTATCATATAAGCATGCGTGCTTTAAATTATCTAACCTTTAAAATAGTTTGCTGAAAATTTCTTAGATGGAGCGTGCGATCGCAAGTACGTTTATGAAACTTGGGATCTAAGTAATAAAGAGAATTTCGTTTGCGAAAAATATGTGTATAACATAAAATAAATAGTATATTAATGTTTCAATTGAAGTGATTAATAATTTCTTTAAACATTTTCATTAAAATTATTTTTTTAAATTTAAAACGCACATTTTAATTTTTTCTTCTATTAAGCTATTATACACATATATTTTTGAAAACAATTCAAGTATAAAATAATTAATTTTGACCTAGAGAGTTTAATTTTAACACAGGTGTTGTCTTTAAGTCGTGAAGGACTTTGACGTGTTCACATTTTTGTAGGTTTCACTTCTATTGCATGTGAACAGCACATGTTCGTTTTTTAGTGTAGTGATTCCCAGTAGTCGTCTTAACGTCACCCTGCTTCTTTAGAATGACAGCGTAAAAATATTTTCCATACTCGACCACAAGCCTGTCCTATACTTTAATATTATAAGCTGTAGATTCTTTGTTTAATCGTTTGGTTGAATACCTTAATCGCAGGAACCACTAGTCAATTAAAAATCTTGCAATATGGAAAAAAAATATTCCATAGGTGAGCTTCCGTTGCGTGCGCTGCGTTTAAGACAAAAATAACAAAAAAATCATTAAAGACGGAATTGTTCCCCTTTAAAAGTTCTATCAAAAAGTCCGCGAAAGCAATTATCTTTTAAGGGTGACCCACTATAACTTTTCTCCCCAAATTAATGTGGGTGAAACCGCAGGACACCTCTACGCTATAAATCTACTATAAATCTTTACATAATTTCATTAATAAATTATCTACACACCTTAACTAAACATTGTATTGTAAATATAAATTAATATTAGTGTTTAATAACCATTTTTTTACCTTAAAAAAGACCAAAAGTTGGGAACACTTTCCAAATATTGTCATTTTAATCTGGTGTAAAGCACAAGCTCAAACTAAATGACTGTCTGCCCTTGTATTTGGCATTAACTTAAAGTTCGTATAAAGTTACTTTATTTCAAGTGTGACTTTACGTAGTTACAAGATCCATGTCATAAGTATATGGAAGCCGCAAAGCTTTCACTTCAAATGAGAGAAGATAAATGTTATTTTATATTGTTTTTGGTTCTGTAGTAGCATTAACGAAATGTGACATGCTTCGATATAGGATACTCAGTTGTAACATTCATATCATTATCCAAACGTAGGTGTAGTTGGGACCATAATAGTTATAAGTTTATGATAGAAAATTGCTTTTCGAAATCAATTTTAGCAATTTTCAATCAGGAATCTCGAATCTTAACTTTAACAGATGCTTTAATTGCACTTTGTTAAGCATGCCAAATTACAAGATGATATTAAATTAATCAACTTTTTTGATGAACTGTGGTATAGCTATACCAAAGATGCATGCATAACCTCTGCAACCACAAACCATGTACAAACCGATGTTAGGGCTGCTAGAGAAATTGTACTTAACCCTGGAACCCTACTCGGAGTGCTGGAGCACCCCACAAGCTTTTGTTTTTAAATTAATTTCGCAGGTTTATAGATTTCACCTCCCGCGTATTTTACCTTGAGGTTACGCGCTACGGATTGGCCAGTGACGCGGCGACAGCCGTACATCATAGACGAGTGCACGTGTGTTGTGGGGTGACCCAGCACCCCATTTTAATTTTCATTTTGTTAAAGTTATTGCAATTGTTAAACTAGTGTGGTTAATGAAATGTTTATGATTGAAATAGTTGATTATTGAGTATGTGTGAAAATAAGATTTAACTTAAAATGTGATTAATTTTCCTTTGAAAAATAAAGAAAACGTTTCAGATTTTTAATTATTTTTATCATATTGTCTACAGATGGCTTTCAATAGAGGATTAAATGATGAGGAAATACATCTTATAGTAAATCAGGAGTCAAGTGATGAAGAAGTCCTGATTAGTCAAGGCTTAGTTGAAGAAGAATCCGATGATGAACCTGATGGTCTTATAGAAGATTTTCGACAGGTGGATGTAAACGAACAAGCAAATGTGGACGAAGAGAGCTCTAGTAGCGATGACGACAGGACATTACAAGAAATATCTCAAGAGTTCAGAAGACAAGGAAAACTTAAGGTTTTGAACGCGTCAAGAGTTCTCTATGGGAAAGGAAAGAATAACAGACACAAATGGAGTGGAGAAAAGCCAGTTAGGCGCCGAACCCAGCAGCGCAACATCATTATGCATTTATCTGGTAACAAAGGTTTAGCTAAAAATATAACGAAGCCAATTGAAGCTTGGGTTCTTTTTTTTTAACGACGAAACACTAAATATAATTGTCCATCATACTAATAAGGAAATTCAATAACAGTCTAAGAATTATAAAGGATATCAAGAAGATGAAGATGGTGAAGCAAATACTGCGCAGTCAACTTTACCATCATTTGTAAAACCAGTCACATTGACGGAGTTAAAAGCTTTAATTGGACTTTTTTACTTGACAGGAGTATTCAAAATGAATGACATGAATACCAAAGAGATTTTTGACAAGTTTACTGGAGTGATGATTTTTAGAGCTACTATGTCTCGTTGTCGATTTGAATTTTTGATAAACTGTCTCCGATTTGATGACAAAGAAACTCGCGAAGAACGACGTGAAAATGATCGCTTAGCTCCAATTCGTGAAGTGTTTGATCACATTGTAAAAATGTGCGAAGAATACTACACACCTATTGATTGCTGTACTATTGACGAACAATTGTTGTCTTTTAGAGGCCGTTGTGTCTTCAAGATGTATATACCCTCTAAGCCTGATAGCTACGGGATAAAAATATTGCTAATGTGCGATGCTAAGACTGCTTACATGTTAAAAGCGATAGTTTATGTTGGTCAAACATCTGCTTCTCCAAATTTATCAGTGCCTGAGTACTACGTCCTAGAACTCTCAAAATCATTGGTCGGATCCCGTCGCAACATAACCATGAATAACTGGTTTACCAGCATACCGTAAGCCAAATATTTAATTGAAAAGGAGCTAACCATGGTCGATACGACGCGAAAGAACAAAGGCGAAATACCAGAGTCCTTTTTGGATTTGACAGGCAGAGAAAAAAACACCGCTTTGTTTGCATACGATGGACCACTCAAACTTTTGTCTTATTGCCCACCGAAATCGACAAAGAAGAAAGTAGTTATCATGTTGTCGACGGTCCACGACTCCCCAGACAATAACAATGAAGTCGAGCTTCCAGAAATTGTGCATTTCTATAATAAGACAAAGGGAGGAGTAGACGTTTTCGATGCAATGTCAAAAAAGTACTCTGTACTGAGAAAAATCAAACGCTGGCCAATGTGCATTTTTATGGTTTATTAAATGTGATTGGTATAAATACCTGGGTTCTCTACAAATGCTCAAAAACATTTAATAAGCCGGACATAAAACATCGTCGCACTTTTCTAAAGGAATTGGGACTCAATCTCATAGAAGAACATTTGAAGGAACGCATACAAAAGCCAAATTTGAGGCGGGATATAAAGGAAAGTATATGCCTGTTGATCCTCCCGAGTCTAAAGAACACTCACAGGGGCGTTGTAGTTTCTGCCCACGAAAAAGAGACCGGAAGAGCAAGACAAGGTGCACTAAGTGCAAAACTCCGATATGTTTGGATCACCAGGTTAAAATATGCCAAAGGTGCTAAAATTGTTAAAATAGTTCAAATTATAAGGCTGATTCGTGATCTCATTGTGTTAATTAATATAAATAAAAGGATGATTACTATATTTTTATTTATTTATATAGTTTATGGTCTATTTAGTTTTGGGGTACTTCATCACCCCAGTGTAGGAATACTGTATGCGCAAGACAGTGTAGGGTTCCAGGGTTAATGTAGTGAATAGGAGCTTTGGAGCCTTCAAACTAAATGCATATTTTTACGTAGTGTTGTTATGCTAAGGCTTCTTCTCTCTCTTCTTCATGTTAGCATGTAGTGTTGCCCAAATTCAGTCTTGGTCTTGCAGTCTTGGTCTTGTTCTTGCATTTTTGCAAGACCAAGACCAAGAACAAGACCGCGTATTTTTAGCAAGACCAAGACCAAGACTGACCGTGCAAGACTTGATCAAGAACAAGACTAATCCGGCAAGACTCTTGCGTCTTGCAGCTAAGACTTAGCGCTATTTCACGGAGTAGTTAGGCATAACAGTTCGGTATATAGGTACGCTTAGGAATTCTATGAGACGCAAAAAACTTTATCAAACAATATGAAAAACTGGACCTATGCGCATTACGACCAATACCATAAACATACATAGCGAATAAAAAAATATCCATTAAAATCAAACAGAGTGCATGCGTAGTTTTGTTTTAACCATCGGCACTTTGATAATGCAGCATCAAAGGTTTTGTACTGACTTCTCAAAGAAATTTGCCGCTTTTCGGAAGTACATGGTGATGATACACGTGCCGGCGGCTTCTATTGAAATCACATACAACAATCGTTGCCGCCGCACCGAAATCACAACATTTGACACTATTTGATTGTCGCTACAGGGCCTAGGTATACTCATGCAAAATTCTAATTTCGTGTCGTGCCGTCCCACTCACGCTAATACTATTTAATATATGAGCGAGCGAGGCGGTACGCCACGAACTTCGATTTTCGAATTTTAGAGTACAGGTGTTCCAAAGAATAAATAAGTTTCAGAGTGTTTAGAATGGAGACGAATACATTATACTGATCACGCAAGTAGTATTATGATTAGATAATGGTAAGGATAGGTAGTAGATGCCATAATATTTTTTTCTAGTAAGTATATATTATAATATTGATTATATGGGTTTAAACTAATTACTTAGGTACTATTATTGTACATTTAGTAAAAATATTTCTTAAATTTCTTAAGTTTTTACAAGAAAAAATAGCAAAAAAGTGGTCAAATATCACCCGTTCGATAAATATTGTAGCCACTTTTAAATATACTTGAAACGTGTAAAAAAATCTACAAAACTAATAAAATAATATAAAAAGCGTACCTACCTACTTATAAAATAAAAATTCTTTAAAATACAGTCAAGTTATTGTAATTTTTTTTTTACATGTTTAAGCACATGTAAGCTTATAAAGCGTAAATGTTTATTAAGAAAACTCCCATGGAAAACGGCATAATAGCTCAGTTGATAACCATGTGGCAGTTGATTTTTCGAATTTCTTATCAAATCTTCAGACATTTATTAATCTGATTGGTCTTTACTATGGCTATGTTAATTCAAGCTCACAATGTTCCAATTCTAATACGTTTTTCTAAGATCTAAAGTAAACTTTAATAAATAGCAATAGTCTAATAGGTAATTGCAAGACTTGCAAGACTCTTGCTGCAAGACCAAGACCAAGACCAAGACTGGGAGCGCAAGACCAAGACCAAGACCAGGTGTATTGGCGCAAGGCCAAGACCAAGACTGGCCAAGTCTCGTCTTGTTCTTGCATTTGGGCAACACTATTAGTAAGTTATGATTTATTTACCAAGAGTTAAAAAGTTAAGTAATAGTAGCCTATAATACATATAGTGGAGATGCTTCCACTGCCACCGTCGCCTCAAACCGCAACATGTGGTATCCTAAAAATATATGCATGTTGAAATAGCCTTTAAGAAGTAGTTGAACATACCTTCAGATAAATAGAGGCGGTCGGGCTCTGAAGGTTGTTCGCACGGCACGGGGCGATGCCGTAACGTGACGTGCAGCGACGGACCACGCGGTGGCACCTCGGGTGGCGCCGGCTCCGGCGGCGAATCACACTCACGCTCACTCGTTTGACCGCCATTGTTCACCGCACCTTTTTTTAAAAAAGAAGAAAATATCCATCGTTAAACCAGCCAAATAAATCCTTTTTGATTCGAACTTTTAGTCGCAAAAAATGTTTGTAGAATCCAGCATATTTTCATTGTTACCGAGAAACTAATATTAACTCTCAACGTTGTTGAACTGTACCCTTTAAATAATTAACAACAAACGTAACGAATATTTCGTTATGCAATTGTTCGAAATGAAAGCAAGTAAACTCTGTCGATATTATATTTGTCTTTTTACTATAGAGTGAAATATGTTAAGCATCCGTAGAACGATATCTTAGCATTCGTAATAAACATAATTCCGCGCGCTCTCTCTATACGTGCCCCAGCCACGTGCGTTCAGGAAACTATGCCAAGCATCCTTATCAAAGGCATGCACCCATCATAGTATGATAGATATACAGAATGTCTAACTACAATAACTAAACAGGAATCCAACGTTGAATGTGTGCAATGCCCCATTAATTCCTTACATTTTCAGATGGTGGAGTCAACAGATACCAAGAGCAATGAAATAATTGCACTCCTATTATTAATGTTTATGTGTTAATGTGTTGTTCATCAATGTTATAGTAATATTAATAGAATGACGAAGTTTTACTACGTAGCACAATACGAATGCTAATCGATTTCAAGTTTTTTTTTTGTGTACATGTAATTTACCACAAATCACCTCTAACGCGTCAGTGGGATTGAGAAGATGAGTTTCTTGGAGGTTTCACAGTCGGAAGAAGATAGTTTTTGTAGTATAGAATATTTATCTTCAATTAAAAATATTACTACTGCCTGTTATATCTTGAAGATAGTAGTAGTAGAATAATCAGCTGATAGTAGTAGTTCATAGAATTAGATAAGCTAGGTACTTACATACGTAAACAGCACATTCTATCAGATTTTTAAAAAGGTATCTTTGACGATTTATCTGCACCCATGTTTTAAAACCCTTTATAAAAGATTTTGTATCAGTTAGCTTGTTGCCAAAATCAAAACAACCAATGTCCTACTAACCATAATATGTACCAAACGGATGATATGATTTTGTAATAAATTTCATAATATCACTCCTTCGCTTTTTCGATCGCTTCCGCGCAAAGGTTTTGTTCATCGGACAGCCACATTCTTACAGCTCGATGCGTGGTATCTGTATTATGAATTTCGAGAAATAACAGTGTCCTTCAAGCGAGTTACGCAACCACAGCGCCGTAACATACAAAAACCGGACAAGCGGAGTCGGCTCGTCCACCAAGGGTTCCGAACACATTTGTTGGTACGCAACATAAACGGCCATATCTCTTTTTACGTTCACTTAGAATTTTTAATTTTTCTTCAGCTTTAAGGGACCGAAAGCTAAGTACATGGCTTAAATTTCAAATCGATGCCTCCACGCGTTTCCGAGATAAAGGGTCTTGGCAGACAAACGAACAGACGGACGGCGGACAACAAAGTGATCCTATTGGGGTTCCTTTTTTTCTTTTGAGGTGCGGAACCCTAAAAAGTTATAGGTTTTATTAATTCTCACAATTTTCTTTTGCAAAATATTATTATTTTCAATAAAGAATTCTTTCTAAGAATACAGTGAAGGATATTTACAACCAATTACTACCGGAAAAATCAAGAAAACTTTATTCATAAATTGGAAAATATCAAAGGGTTAATACATAACCCTTAATACATAATGTTTATTGTACATAAACAATACTAATGATTCGTACCATGGGTATAGATAAGTCTTGTATGCTACTGTTTATAATTAGGTATTAGAACACTCCTGTGATATTATTAGTTTCACCTACTTACCGGTAATATTTATGTTTTAACACACCTTATACAACAGTTGCATAATAAAACAAATAAAAATAGCTTTGCGAATGAAAAAAAAACAAAAAACAATTTAAAAACGGTTAGAAATATTATAATTTCCCCATACCATTGTTGAGACAGTGACGCGCGTTCCTCGCGTTGTTATCGAGTGTGAAATCGTCGGCGCGCCGGCGGCGTGAGAGGGTGCCGCCCGGTACTTCGCCGTTGAATAATTCTTCACCTGTAGTAACATAAATGATTATAAAAATATACTTACTCTTTGTAAAGGATTAAGATGCACATTTTATTTATTTATTATAATATTTTAATTTGGAATCAAAAATTCGTATTACTATATTTATAATACCATAGTTATCTGAATTGAATCTACTACAAAACCAAAAATTAAATAGAAATAAAAAAAGAAAATAGTTCACAAACAAAAAATGATTACCCCGATGACATGTGAAAGTGTCAAAACAAATAATGAATAAAAACAACAAAAACAACAGAGAATGGAAATGAATCAACAATGTTGACGAGGAGCAAAGCACGTTTGAGATCACCGGACTCGTCACGTCGCTCCGTATTAACTTTTTATGAAGTGTAAAATTATTCATAGACGATAATTGATAAGGCAATAATATAACAACTTGATCAAAGTAAACAAAACGTAATTTAAATATATTCAGGAAAATACAGTGAAAGATATCAGAAAAGAATGTCAGTTATAGAAACCACTGTCAAAAGTCATAGTGCTAACAGTTTAATCATAGAGATGAAGAGGTTGATATACTATCTCTTCACACCCTCGTAACTTTTAAGAATTTATATCTTAAATTTTCTTTAAGCCTATCTTGCTGCTTATTTCTTCTAATCTTGGGCCAAAGAGAGGTTTAGTAAGCATGTCAGCGAGTTGACGTAAGGATGGTACTTGTTTTACTTCAAGTTCACCATTTATAACGCATTCACGCACAAACAGATGCTTCAATTTTATATGTTTGGTACGCTTATGGTACTCATATTTAGGATTATGAGAAAGCTTCACAGCTGATTCATTATCGAGATATAACACGGGTTTCTTTAAGTCCGTCATGTCTTTTAATAAGCTGTTTAGCCACACAATCTCCTGTGCGGTCTCGCTAGCTGCGATGATCTCAGCCTCAGTCGACGAGAGTGATACGACAGTTTGTCGTTGACTTTTCCAGCTGATAGCTGCTCCTGATAGTAAGCATACCATCCCTGTCGTCGATCTGCCTGTTGTTTGATCTTCTGCAAGATCCGAGTCAGAGTAACATACCAGGCTTTTTAGAGATTCTAAAGTCTGCCTATATATTAGACCTTTATTTATAGTGCCTTTTAGATAACGAAAGATTCGTTTTACTAGTGTTATATCATGCGTACTAGGTGTCTCTAAGTTTCTGGATGCTTTGTTCACAGCATACGCTATGTCTGGCCTTGTGCCCACTGCTAAGTAAGTAAGAGCTCCAACAGCCTGTCTGTAAGGGAATTTCCGTCCATTATCAATAGGCGATTCCGTGTCGTCGCTACTTTCTTTGATTATTGGAGTCGGTGCAGCCTTACTGTTCGTCATTCCGAACTTTTCTAGTACCTTTTTGGTATAGGCTTGCTGACATAGTGTTATTTTATGTTCTTCCGCTTTCACCTCCATACCAAGGAAGTAAGAAACAGGTTTCGATGTTATCTTAAAGCGAGCGTTAAGTTCCTTGATAAACTCATCTCCGGCGGCAATTGTGGTTGATGCTACAAGTCCGTCATCAACGTATAGTCCAATCAAGGGTTTAGACGCACCTCTGAATCGACTATACAAGCAAGGATCTGCTTCATTTTGTTTGAAACCAGTTTTTATCAAAAATTCTGCAATACATGAGTTCCAGCATCGCGGTGCCTGTTTGAGACCGTAGAGGCTGCGTTTTAATTTGCAAACCCTATTTGTTCCATCATGGAAACCTTCGGGTTGTTTAACATAAATTTCTTCTTGAACTGAGCCATTTAAAAATGCTGTAGTAACGTCGAACTGACGTAAGTTAAGATTCTCTCTTGCAGCGATTGCTATTATTGCTCTAATAGTGCTGAGACGAGCCACCGGACTAAATGTCTTATCATAGTCGACACCTTGTTGTTGTGAATAGCCTTTGACAACTACTCTGGCTTTAAATTTGTCGACAGAACCGTCAGGATTTGTTTTCAATTTATAAACCCATTTGCATGGTAGTGCTTTTCGCCCTTTAGGTAAATGCACTAAGTCCCACGTGTCATTTTCTTTCAGGGAGTTTATTTCGCTCAACATAGCTTCAAGCCAATTTATTTTATAAGGTGAGTCCAATGCTTATTTGTATGATATTGGATTCTCTGGTAAATTTTCAACATCAGCGACAGCTGCCAGTATAAAGTCATCATACCGTTGTGGCATTTATATTGCTGATCTATCTCTAAGATTGTACCCATCAAGTTCAGGTTCTTGTTCGTTTTCAGTTAGGTCACTGAGCTGTTCATTATCGTTACTAACTATTCCATTATTATCTATTTCCGGTTCATAATCAATAGGATCTCCTTGCTGAGTAGAATCAACAATGTTTTATTCAGAGTTAGCTGTTGATAAGTCGTCAGTGTCATCAATATCTATTTGGGTTTTGTTTATTTCTGGAACAGAGATAGAGTTTTCTTCATTATATGTAAAGTTGTTGATATTACTTGTAAGATTGGAGTAAAAAGTTGCTTTTAATACTCTTACATCTCTGGAAATAAAAATTTTGCGTTTGGCTGGAACGTACACCCTGTACGCTTTACTGGTTTGTGAGTAGCCAACAAACACTCCCGGTATTGCCTTTGAAGCAAATTTATGACCTCTGGGTCCTTTTTTCAGTATGAAAACCTTGGATCCAAAAGGATGGAGATGATTGACGCATGGCTTTCTTAAGATCCATTTCTCAAATGGTGTTTTGTTACCAATAGCACTATTTACACTTCTATTTGATAAATAGTTTGCGGTGCTTACTGCTTCAGCCCATAAATGCATTGGTGCGTTGGCGTCAATTAGCAGAGCTCTAGCCTTTTCAACTAGAGTTCGATTTCTCCGTTCAGCGATACCATTCTATTGTGGGGTATAGGGTGCGGATAAGCGTCTTGCAATTCCATGTTCCTTTAAATAGTTCCGGAATTTCATATTGACATATTCTGTGCCATTGTCCGTTTGCAAATATTTAATCTTATTTCCAGTGATTTTTTCCATTTCTTGTTTATACTCTTTGAACTTGGAAAATACTTCAGATTTGTTTTTTAAAAAGAATACCGTTCCATATCTACTGTAATCGTCAATAAAAGTAACGAAGTATTTGCTTAGACCATTAGATGGAGTGCTGATTGGACCACATACGTCGCTGTGGATAATCTCTAAGCGTTCGGTAGTTCTAGGAGTAGTTCGTTGAGGCGGGTTTGGCATTCGAGTCATTTTTGCCTCTATGCAGGTCTCGCAGTCTGACAAAGTCTCATTTTTATTAAAGTCCAATCCAATCATAGTCTCGTTGTTGAGAGCCAAACGAAGGTCCTTATAGTTCATATGTCCAAGTTTTCTGTGCCAGTCTTGTATGGAGCCTTGTTACGCATTTATTGAACTTGTTGCAGGCGTTGCTGCTAAGCTTTGTTCGATGTTTGGCGATGTAACATAGTAGAGCCCATTAGACTTTTCAGCGGTTAACAATAGCTTTCCCCTCTTGTTACATATTACTGCTTTGTCTTTGTCAAATGTCACCGAAGCCCCGTGATCTGTCATACTAGAAACTGACAGTAATTTTGTAGTAAGTGTGGGTACAAACAATGTGTTTTCCAAATGTATCCTCCCAAACTTATTTTTCAGCGTAACTCTCCCTTCTCCCATAATGTCTGTGGAATGATCTTTCGATGCAAAGTTGAGCTTTCTTGACACAGTCTTCATATCTTTGAAAAAATTCTGATGATGCGTCATGTGAGAGGTACAACCACTGTCAAGTACCCAATTGTCCTGGTTGTTTCGGTTTAAAGTAAGAAGACACTCTTCAGCATAGTGAGAATTGTCAAACTTGTTGTTATTTAATTTCTTCTCCTTATTTTTCTTCCAGCGATGGGAACTATTTTATGTGTCTTTTTCTGAAAAATCTTGCTCCCTGTCTTCTTACAGATTTTGCAAGCTGCAAAGAGTGCATTTTCTTCTACATGTTTTTGAGTACCAGGTTCATCATTGTCATAGTTGTGATGGTGTGCGTCACTTTCTTCAATAATTTTTATTTTAAGATCTTCCGGTTTTGGCAGGACGTCGCGTGACTCTATAGCAACACGAAAATTTTCCTATTCGAAGGAAAGGCTATACAACATCATAATTGTTAATAAATCCTCATTAATATTAACGTCCATATCAGCTAATTTGTCAACTGTATCCATGAAGCTGTTTAGGTGTGCTCGTACATCACTTCCTTCAAGTTTGGTAAGTATTCATTTTTTGAGTAGAGACGCTTTGCGCGCAGGTCCTTTACTGGCATGTATTTCTTTCAGTTTGTCCCACAAAGCCTTTGCAGAAGTGCATTTCTTTATTTCTTTAAGTTGAGATGGAGCGATTATCAAGCTTAATTCTGATTTCGCCTGTCTGTCTCCTTCAGTATCATCACTACTTGCGTTTGGGGCTAATGGACTAACAACGTATTTCCATAGTTTACTTTTTACCAATACGGCTTCAGCCTGAATTGCCCAAGTGTCATAATTGTCCTTATCGAGTGGATCAATGTGATAAGTCGCCTTCGGCATATTTGGCAATACAAGGTTTAGTTTTCAATATAGATACCTCGACTTACTTGTATGTCGTGCCGACGTGTTTTTCACTTCGAAAACTCTGCTACCATATTAACTTTTTATGAAGTGTAAAATTATTTATAGACGATAATTGATAAGGCAATAATATAACAACTTGATCAAAGTAAACAAAACGTAATTTAAATATATTCAGAAAAATACAGTGAAAGATATCAGAAAAGAATGTCAGTTATAGAAACCACTGTCAAAAGTCATAGTGCTAACAGTTTAATCATAGAGATGAAGAGGTTGATATACTATCTCTTTACACTCCGCCTCGCAGTTATCGGCAACAGTCACAGTACCGAGTACCCTCCGGCTGACACCTGCAGTTGCGTCGAGCGATAGTGACGAGTACTTCTCTCCTCCGGCGACGCCACCACCAGTTCGTCGACGAAG